AAGTAGAATGAGGTCAACAACCTGTGAAACCTGCTTCACAATTACCGTTCTCCTTATACTGGAAGTGGTGGAGGCAGCATCCGTTTCAGGACTTGTCACATCGGTGACAGCAGATGCGTTGGGAACATTCTGAATGTTAATAAGTTAGACATGCCATCTTTGTTTGGAATAAGGTAGATTTGCAGAGAGACAAACGTACAGCAGGCGTTTCTGCCTCAGCAGTAGCCGCGCTCTCATCAGATGTAGCAGCAGCAGCCGGAGGTGCATTAGCAGCTGCTTCTGGATGTTCTGTGGATTCAGCAGATGCTTCAGGCGTCCCGGTGTACAGTTCCCTTTTTGGACACAACCTGGTAGGATCCAACTTGGACCCGGACTCCATTCTAGCGTTCCATAACTCGACAACTGCTTCGAGCATATGTTCAGAACGGATGAGTAAGTCACATTCAAAATCCGAAAACTGGATATTCTAAAACCACAGGCTTCAATGACAAGTCAATCAAATGTGGTTGCTACAGACCCTCATGGCCCGTCCAAGGGTATAGATCTTGGCTCGAACTCGTTCGCGACATAACCTAAAGAGAGATTGGTGCTAATGGAAATTAGATTATAAAGAAAACACCTTTTCCTGTTCTCCTCCCTTTTCAGGCTTTGGAAATCTGTCAGAATCACACCACGATTTTGCTCATATTCTTCTAACATAGTCAACTCCAACTCAGTCAACTCTCCTCCTTCAAAGGAAAGAATGATGTACGTGATTTCGATATCCGATATGAAATCAAAGTAAAGACAGAACGATATAATCACCTTCACCCCGTCCTTCAGTTGAGAAATCAATCCCTCCTTCTCCACTATTCGCATGGTCATCATCGTGAGTGCCATCGGCAGGTTCAAGGTGTTCTTGTGAATCATCATGATGTTCATTACTTTCGCCTCTTTCCATGATGTTTTCAGCCGCTTCGTTGTCTTCCCGTTCATGATCAACGCCAGCATGATCGCTACCATTGGTATGATCGTGGTCTTCTTCCTCAGCTGCCTTCTCTGGAAATTTCCAGGACTCTATAAATAGAATGATAGACATGATTGTAACAGTCAAAAAAGCCGCATAATAATGAAAGTTATGCCAACTTCTTTTAGCAGCGGCATCTAATCGGCGCTGAACGGACTGTGCAACCAGCTGAACCTCCCGCGGGGTTACTGCCATGATCCTCCGTTCCAGAGCCGTTCCAGGCATACAGAAACGATGACATTCTCCTTAATGTTAAATTTGCATTATAAACTAGGATTTCAATGTCCTGTACTTACTATGTAACACCATCACGATTACTGGGAGAGGCAGCTTCTTCTTGCTCATGTCATAGATCCGGTTACGGATTGCAGTGGGTAACCGAAGTCGTTCGTC